AAAAAAAAAAAAAAGAGTTTTCGCTTCCAACAGCACCAGGTCCTGTCCTCTGCCTTCAGGACAATGGAAGGAGATGAAGCTGTGGGCAAGCACCATTCTAGAATGCCACTGCTTCAAAGGGCCTCAGGAATTCTCCACCCTCTACAGACAGACAACCTGAGGCCCAAAAGTCACACAAATCATGTCAAAGCTAGCACTGTACTAGAAGTTAGGTCTTCATTCCCAGATCCATGTTGTCTTCAGGGATACTGTAAATCTGTCCCTAATTCCATTCAGTCATTCAGCAAATATTAGTGAGTGCCTATTGTGTGTCAGGCTCTTTTCTGGGTAGAGGAAACAGAGCAGGAAATAAGGGACAAAAATCTCTGTCAATGTGGAGCACATCTATTGGAAGGAGGTGCAGAGCCAACAGTGTGTAATATATCAGACACAGATAACCAGCATGGGGAGGATTCAGAAGAGGGCAAATGTGACAGGGGTAGCTATTTTAGACAGGGTGATCAAAGAAGGTCTCCCTGATAACTTCATGTCTGAGTGACCAGGTGAAAGGAACAGAAAGTGCAAAGACATATTGCACTGGGGGAATGGATGAGCCAGCAAACCATGGAGGGTTTTCAGTAGTACAGTGACATGATCCGAGTTAGTGTTCATAAGATAGCTTTGGGTGCTGTGTTGAGACTAGACAGCAGGATGATAAAGGAGACCAGTTATGAAGTTACTGCAACAATCCAGGCAAGAGATAACAGTGGATGGGAGGTGGTGAGAAGAGAGTGGAATTTCAGACATTTTTGGCCAGTAAAGATGACAAGACTTGCTGATGGATCTGGATGTGGCTTGTTCTAAAAAGAAAAGTTTCTAGGGGTTTCCATGGTTTCCAGCTTGAGTGACTGAAAGGACGGAGGTACTATATACTGTGATGGAGGAAATCCCAGGAGGGGCCGTTTTGAGGGAAAGAGTAGAAGTTTGGTTTTGGACATATTAAGTCTGAGATGATTAAATAACTATTTAAGAGGTGTTGTTGAATAGGAAGTTGTATATGAGTC